AAAAAAAAAAAAAAAAAAAAAAAAAAAAAAAAAGCAAGACCGATAATAGGTCGTTTCAATACGTGTGCCAATGCAAACACGTGAATACTCTCCAAGCTAGCGTATACTTCGTCATCGGTCGCAGCACTCTCACAAGTCCCGTCGTTGCTAGAAAATTAAAAATTATATTAGACGATATGCAGAAAATAAAAAAACCGTACTTTCTTCCGCTTGTTCGTGGAGTAGAATCTGCCATTTTCAAAACATTATCCCACTCTTCACGCCATTGTTCATCTGTCAACAAAAAACCACTTTGTAAATTAGATTTGCTCTCAGCCCATCGCCAGCGACGCCACAACATTTGTTTTCGGCTCCCACTTAAGAATATACAAAGTTTTAATCGAGGAATCAAACCATTACTTTACTTACGTTTGACCACAAATAACAATTCGTACAACTAATTCTTCCAAAAAAGAAGTAAATCAATAACCTAGTTAACATTTCATAAAGACATTTCCTAAGAACAAGCTGTCGATCATGTTTCCCATACATGCCCAATGAAGCAGCATGCAACAAACAATTTCCATCTCCTGTAGTACTTAGCGGCCATAATCTTTGGCCACTGCCATTCCAGCGCCACCAGTTCAAATGTCCTGTAACCAACGACAGGGATGTCAGTTAGGAAAACTTTAATTACCGGATACAAGGACAAACAATCACTGATAGCAATCAAAAGGCCAATCAACTCATAATACCAAATTATTCTGGAGATACCTGAGTTTTCCAAACGTTTCAGAGTAGCTGTTTCTATTAAATCCTTCTCCAAAAATGCTCTGAAGTCATTTTCCAGTTCAGTAAAATCTGGTAAAATGAACGCGCACAATGGTGTTTCTAAAACTCTTTCGCACCTGCATTCCAGCTTCGAACCTTCATGGTCTTCATCATCCTTATTTAATTTAACTGAAATGTCCCGTAAATTTATACAAGAAATGAGCGAAAAAAACCTTAAAAAATCACCATAAGTTATTAAAAGTTTAAAGAACTGCATACTAAAGAAATAAAATAATGATAACCTTGTGATGTGGATGGAGAAATGGAGGAGTCGTCGCTATTACAAATATCTGCACATCTACTAATAGCAGCTTCTACATCCCATTTTTCCTCTAAATTAACTAATTCAAATGACAATAAATCACAGATTCTGTTAAGTTTTAAACAGACTGCCACCACTTCAAAAACTTCTTAATCCTTACTATCCAGATTTTTACGAGACCCGTATAAAAATAATAGCACCGTTACAAAATAAGCCTTCATAATGAATTCTTAACAAAAACTCCTAACCTTTCAACACTTTGATCGCCACGGATCTTGAGATATTAACACTCGAAATAACTTTTGAAATAGCAGCTTCTTCATCTACTTCACACCGTGACATTCACTTCACATCCGTAGGTTGCCAAACACACAAGTAAGCAAAGGTTACTTATGACTGCTAAACGATCTAAGTGTTAGACTCCTACACAATTCAGTAACAAGCTTTAAACAGTAAAAGCATTTCGCGACATCTGCACAAATCTCTCCTCGAAATATACAACGACAATAAAGAACAGTAAAAAATACTGAACTGTATTATAAGAGCAACCTCGTCGTCACTGCTAAAAAACCGACCCATAGATTACTGTATGATTTGTGTTATATTATTAAAAGCATTTTTTTCTGGAACGACAGTCAAAAGTGCACAAGAAAGATTACAAGACTAAAAATTAAAATTTGCTGGCAACAGAATAACAGTCAATATTTCAACTCTAACAGTAGTTATTAACAGGTGCAGGTCAGACAGCTCAATCTTAAAATACATAAATACTACCAAATTCTTGTTGGCAATCACCATTACAAAGCATATAAAATGTGTTTAAATTACTCGCGGAATTTTTTCGCCTGCTCATTTTTACTTCAGGTTCCTTACAATTTTGTAATAAATTACGTATGAAGAGTCATAATCCAGATGCATTTTAAAAACTTTATTTTTATAAACACTTTTAGGTGACCCTGTTGATCTTTGAAAAATATGCTAAACATTATTTTACGGGGTAATTCCAATTCTGAACAGTAACTTTTTGACAAGCAACAAAGATACAAAAATCTACAA